CACCCAGTGGATCCAGGCCATTTGCGAGTAGTCACTTTGCGGGTAGTGGAACGCGCTCGCCTAGGGACACTCGGGACAATTTGGGGTCGGGCGGCCGCGGTATGCAGGGTGGGAGTGGCCGGGAGGGCTGCTCTTTCAATCTAGCGACCCCAACCTGTCCGGTGGGGAAACAGTCGAAAAAATGTCCGGGAAGGGGATGATTTTTCAAATTTTTTTATTGTTGCCCTCAAATCCGCCTGTCGGAGGACATGCCCGATCGAAGCCTGGCCGAGAGCGTTCTGGGGAGGCCGGGGTCGTGCCGAAGGGCCGCCCGAGGCCCAGGAAGCAGGGCCCGCAGACCGACTGCCTCGCCCCGTCGGGACGTGCCGGCGGACTGCTTTGTGTTCGTGTTGTCGGCCTTTGGGGGGACTAGCTGGGCGCCGTGGCAGTCCCGAAATGACTCCAGACGTGCGAGGCGGGAATGTATCCATATCCACCGCCTGGAGGTTAAGTTTTCGGAGCTTCGGCAGGCGGTGGATATGGACATACTCGGGCACCCGGGGGCCGAAATATATCCATATCCACCGGCCACTGGGGCACCAGAACGTCGATTACCAGGCGGTGGATATGGATAAATCCCCGCCTCGCAAGACGAGCAGCCGGGATGGGGGGTGATTGCTCCTGGATCCCGCTGGGGGCCTTTTTTTTGCGAGCCGGTCGGTCTCGAGGGGAATGACATAAGCATAAAAGTTCGGACCTCCGAGATTTAAGTTCCCCTAGTTTTCTGTGGGCCTCACACACGTCCGAGGGAGGAGGATGCCAAGACGTTGCGTTTCCCTTTGGGGTGGAAGGTCCTCAGGTGGCTAGGCTTCGAGAAGCAGCCACCAAGAGATGGGTCGTCTGAGGTAGGAGGAGGAGGAGAAGGAGGAGGGGGTCAGTCTTAAAGGACAGCATGTAATTAGCAGTGCCAGCCTTAAAGGTCAGCGCGTTGGCCTTCAGAATGTACTGGGCTACTTTTCGGCTTCGCACTGATAGGTGGTGGGACAATGTGGCTGGAGGGATTCAAGTTGCCTAGCGAAAAACCCAACCATATGCAGTTGTCAGTACCGCAGCTGCGGGTTTCATCTTCAGTGGAACTCCCCATGGGACCACGGAGCGTGTGAGGGGTGTGCCGAGATGGGTGCCACTGGGACATTCGGTGAAGCTCCCTATGGGGACATGAAACACGCGCGGGGCGTGCCGACATGGGTGGCGGAAACGCATGTGAGGGCTGCCACTGGGGCATCCAGTGGAGCTCCCTATGGGTCCCCGAAACATGATGCTGCTGCGGGGGGGGGCCGGGATGGGTGGCGGAGACGCATGTAAGCGCCGCTACTGGGGCCTTCGGTGGAGCTCCCGAAGCGCGTGAGGGGTGTACTGGGATGTGTGGCGGGGACGCATGTGAGCGCCGCCACTGGGGCCTTCGGTGGCTCCCCATGGGGCCACGAAACCTGTGAGGGGTGTGCCGAGTTGGGTGCGGGTGGTGACGCATGCGGGCGGCAGCACTGGGGCCTTCGGTGGAGCTCCCTATGGGGCCACGAAACCTGTTGTTGTGAGGGGCGTGCCGGGATGGGTGGCGGGGACGCATGTGAGCGCGGCCGTTGGGGCCTTCGGTGGAGCTCCCGATGGGGCCACGAAACGTGTGAGGGGTGTGCCGAACTGGGTGGGTGTGGGTGACGCATGTGAGCGCCGCCACTGGGGCCTCCGGTGGATGATGGGGCCACGAAACCTGTGAGAGATGTGCCGAAATTGGTGTGCGGGACGCATGCGCATGTGAGCGCCGCCACTGGGGCCTTCGGTGGAGCTCCCTATGGGGCCACGAAACGTGTGAGGGGTGTGCCGAATTGGGTGTGCGGGACGCATGCGGGCGGCAGCACTGGGGCCTTCGGTGGAGCTCCCTATGGGGCCACGAAACGTGTGAGGGGTGTGCCGAATTGGGTGTGCGTGACGCATGCGGGCGGCAGCACTGGGCCTTCGGCGGAGCTCCCTATGGGGCCACGAACGTGTGAGGGGTGTGCCGAAATGGGTGTGCGGGACGCATGCGGGCGGCAGCACTGGGGCCTTCGGTGGAGCTCCCTATGGGGCCACGAAACGTGTGAGGGGTGTGCCGAATTGGGTGTGCGTGACGCATGCGGGCGGCAGCACTGGGGCCTTCGGTGGAGCTCCCTATGGGGCCACGAAACGTGTGAGGGGTGTGCCGAATGGGTGTGGTGACGCATGCGGGCGGGCACTGGGGCCTTCGGTGGAGCTCCCTATGGGGCCACGAAACGTGTGAGGGGTGTGCCGAATGGGTGTGCGTGACGCAGCAGCACTGGGGCCTTCGGTGGAGCTCCCTATGGGGCCACGGAACGTGTGAGGGGTGTGCCGAATTGGGTGTGCGTGACGCATGCGGCCGGCAGCACTGGGGCCTTCGGTGGACCGATTGGGTGTGCGTGACGCATGCGGGCGGCAGCACTGGGGCCTTCGGTGGAGCTCCCTATGGGGCCACGAAACGTGTGAGGGGTGTGCCGAATTGGGTGTGCGTGACGCATGCGGGCGGCAGCACTGGGGCCTTCGGTGGAGCTCCCTATGGGGCCACGAAACGTGTGAGGGGTGTGCCGAATTGGGTGTGCGGGACGCATGCGGGCGGCAGCACTGGGGCCTTCGGTGGAGCTCCCTATGGGGCCACGAAACGTGTGAGGGGTGTGCCGAATTGGGTGTGCGTGACGCATGCGGGCGGCAGCACTGGGGCCTTCGGCGGAGCTCCCTATGGGGCCACGAAACGTGTGAGGGGTGTGCCGAATTGGGTGTGCGTGACGCATGCGGGCGGCAGCTTTGTGGCTTTCGGCGGAGCTCCCTATGTGGCCACGAAACGTGTCAGGGGTGTGCCGGATTGGGTGTGCGTGACGCATGCGGGCGGCAGCATTGGGGCCTTCGGTGGAGCTCCCTATGGGGCCACGAATCGTGTGAGGGGTGTGCCGAATTGGGTGTGCGTGACGCATGCGGGCGGCAGCTTTGGGGGTTTCGGTGGAACTCTCTGTGGGGCCACGAAACATGTGAGGGGTGTGCATGCGGGCGGCAGCACTGGGGCCTTCGTTGGAGCTCCCTATGGGGCCACGAAGCGTGTGAGGGGTGTGCCGAATTGGGTGTGCGTGACGCATGCGGGCGGCAGCACTGGCCTTCGGCGGAGCTCCCTATGGGGCCACGAAACGTGTGCGGGGTGTGCCGAATTGGGTGTGCGTGACGCATGCGGGCGGCAGCACTGGGGCCTTCGGTGGAGCCCCCTTATGGGGCCACGGAACGTGTGAGAGGTGTGCCGAATTGGGTGTGCGTGACGCATGTGGGCGGCAGCACTGGGGCTTTCGGCGGAGCTCCCTATGTGGCCACGGAACGTGTGAAGGGGTGTGCCGAAATGGGTGTGCGTGACGCATGCGGGCGGCAGCACTGGGGCCTTCGGCGGAGCTCCCTATGGGGCCACGAAGCGCTGTACTGGGTGTGCGGGACGCATGCGCACGGTGGAGAGGAGGAGGGGGCAGAGGAGGAGGGGAGAACGCGGGGACCGTGTCTACAAAACGAGGACCCAACACCACAGGATGGTTGGGAAAAAGAGTTGGGTTGGGCAGCACTCGGCGTATGACGTTTTGCTTCGCCACTGTGCCTCACAGTGGCTGCACTCTTCGCTCGCATGTCCAGCTGCTACGTCTCACGCTACCATGCCCTCCTGCGGTCCAAGGCCAGGCAGCGCCCGCCCGTTAGCGTGGTACCAGAGGGGGACGGGGGGGTGGCTGGAGTCTGATGATCGGGGGGGATGGCTTGGGATGTTTAAACACTCACAGTCGCATGTCAGGCCCCCATGGTCAACAGGGCGTGGCCCCACCGCTTCGGACTGCCAGCGTACGAGGGGCACGCCTTCAGCGACAGTTTGACACTTCACATCCTCGAACTCAGATGCGCCACTTTGCTCTCTTTTGCGTCGTCTGTCTCTGCTTTCCCACAATGCACGCGTATTTTGACCCCTTCTCGTTCGGCCTCCTTCGTAGTACGTGATTATTCAGGTACTGGCTTGATGTCCTTCCCCACTCCACTGCGCGGCCTGGCGGGCGCATGCTCTGTGGACCCACGGCCTCTGTGCCCTTTTCGCTGCTCTTGGCCGCTCCCTCTTTCTGCTGCGCCCGCCAGGCCTGATACGTTGGTGCTTTGCCCAAGTCGGCGCAAGCTTATCTGCACCACACCCATAACGGAACGATCTCCGATCCATGTCCGTGCAGCGTAAACATTGGGGGTGATAGAAGGGGGGGGGAACAGGGGCAGGAAGAGGGAGGACGGGGCAGACGCAGGAAGAGAAGGAAGGGGGGAGGTGGACGAGGAGGAGGAGGGGGAGGGGCTGCTCATCGTCTTTAGATACCTCTGCTGCACGTGAAGCTCTTCGCCTTTTTTATCACCCTCTCTGGCCAGGTGGGCGCGTGCTCTATGCCTGAAGCTTGCCGTTGCACTCTTCCTTTTCCAGCCCAATCTGGCGTTTACCTTGCTGCGCCCACCTAGGTCTAATTTGTAGGCCGCCTCCCCCAAGTCCATCAAGTATTCTGTGCCTGCCACACGAGCTCAGGCATTCCGTGTGTCGATGCCTTCGAGACCTCTCAGGGCCCCGAGAAGACGAAAATGATGAAGGACCTGCGTCACCGTTTCTTCGACACGCCGTATGTCTGGGACCGCTGCGAGCCTTGATGCTCAGAACCTGGCCCACGTGCGAGGCGTTCTGGCTCGGGGGCAAGCCCTGCTCTGTTGCATGACGTGCGCTGCGCGGGGGGCAGCGTATCCGAATTCGCGGCGCTGGCGGCGCGGCGTATCGCGCAGCTCCCCAAGGTGCCCGATTGAGTCGGGCGCATCTTCGGGGCGCTTGCGGCGGCGCTTGTCGCCCGACCCTGCTCGTCGACAAAAACGGGGGCGGTCCAGCTCGATCGATTGATCGCGCAGGGGGCCGTTGAGTCCGCCCGGTCGGGCAGGCCCCGTACCTGCAGGCGCACCTCTTCGACGGCAAGAGCGAGGCGGAGAAGGCGCCGCGCCCGCCGCGTGCGGCCCGCGAGGCATCCCAGAAGCAGGGCCCGCCTCCGAGGATGGAAGAAGTGGCCATCCTTCGAGTACAGCCACGACGCTGAAATAAGGAACGCCTCGGGTGCGGAAGGTGTTCACTGTTCCTTAAGCTCTCCCATGGCTCCTCCTCCATCATTCTTCGTGTGCCTAGGCGCTTCTGGGGCCAATGAAAGGTTTCGTTCCTTATGTAGCGCTCCTTCTGATAGCACCTCGACTGTAGGGAATCGATTGCAAAGCTGATGAGCCCCAGGAGTCGCCTTGGTTCGTCGAGCGTACGGACAGCAAAGAGAGGTGGAGTGACTGCCGAGTCTCCGAGCGTGCTGCGCACCTGTCGCAGATTCGCCTGGAAAACTGATGCTGAGGCAAACCAAGTCTGTGGAAACAACGCGCGGCCGCCTCCGCCCGCGCAGGCCGGCGGACGCCGGCAGAAGAACCACCTTGCCGCCCCCAAGAGGGACGGCAACGTTTGGGGGTTCCCGGTGGCTGGAACCGGTTCGGTCGACTACGCGCTAGAATGGCCCTCCGCCGCAAGGCTTTTGGTGCGGGCTCGCAGGGGCGGCCCCAGCATTCACCCGCGCGCCTGGATCTGTGCCCTTCGCGGTCCCCCGAAGCCGCGCACCACAGGTCGCTCTTGCCCGGGGCCGTTCTCCCGCGTGTAGTCGTCACGTGCCGGCCGCGCGCCGCAAGGGGCCTGCCTGGCCATCGTCTGGCCCGTCGCCAGCGCGACATAGAGAAACGATCTGGCTCCATGGGGACCGCGCGTTTCGAAGCTGGTGTTGCTGCTCATGGTGATGATGATATTGATATTGCAGTGGATTTTGAAACGCTTGATGTTGTTTCTTCAAGGCAATAGTTGATACTGAGTGGCGACTGTCAAGGGTCGATACAGGTGTCCAGTGTTTTCTGTCTGTTCTGATAGGTCTCCGCAAGGGAACGTCGGCGAGCTCACCAAGTTATTGATCGGATGCCTGTTGAGTCTTTGTTGCCGGCTGGTTCCCCGCGACCTCGTCGTCCACCTCGTCTTCATTCACTTCATGGTCTGGCGGGCAGGTCTATGCCACACTTTGTCGCGTGCAGGAGATCACGAGGTTGGACCGATGTCCATGCTTCAATCGTCGCTGACGCTTTTCCTGCCGCCTCGAGGTGGGGAGAGAAAAACAAGACCGGCAGCAGTTCCTGAGCGATTTGAACAGGACATGGGGTCAGAGTAGATGTCGTCGGAGGATCTCGCCGCATCGCCGATGCAGCGGCGGTGCGGCTCCATGTGTCCCCGGTTTTCTCCACGCCGGCGTCGCCGATGCACCGCCGACGTCGCCGATGCATCGTCGATGCATCGGCGACGCATCGGCGATGCATCGGCGATGCATCTGCAATGCGGCACGATCCGCCGACCCCATCCACTCGGACCCCACGTGGGAGATCTCCAGGTGCCCACTGCAGGCAGGACAGCCGCCTGGCCCCGCAGCTGCCGCGGTCGGCCGCCAGGCCCGCGCCGCGGCCCTGCGGCTCGTGCACGTGCGTGGGCCGGGCCGTGGCCAGCCCCCGTTGGCGGGCGCGCACCGCGGGCTGATCGGGTATAGCCAGGACCCGAGGCAAGGGGGCCCGGTTGGTGGTAGGGCCCTGGAGGCCCTAAATTAGCCAGAATCGCTAAACCAGGCCTGCCGTAGCTGGTGTTTTTTCGGGTGACGGCAGTTCTGGTTGGTGGAACGGGGCGGGGGGGGGGGTCCCCCAGTACACATGACTAAGCCAGGTCCCACAAAACCCAGTTCTGCCAACGCCCGAGCTGAGAGCGGGCCCTGCGGCTGTCGGGGGAGGCTGGACGTTCTTGTCCGCCGCAGCTGCTTCGCAGGGCTACACCCAGGAAGAGAAGTTCCACAGTCATGGAGTACTGGGCTGGGAAGGGTGCAGGTTTCTTCCCGCGGTCGACAGGCCGGCTGTGCCGCACTGGTCATTGTTTGGGGGAAGTTGGGCGTCGCGGGGGGAGCAGCGAAAAAAATGAAACACATGGGGGGGGGGAGTCCTCCTGGGAGGCTCCAGGACGGCCCAGGGGGGCCCCACGGCGGCCCGACATGGCCCGAGGCGCATCAGGACGGCCCAAAAAGATTGGTGTTTCCGCTGGTGGGTTCAGCCGGAGGGGCAGCCCGGGCGAGATGGTCAGCGGCCGGTGGGGGGCACTCCTGCCGCGGGCGGCAGCCCCGATAGGACGAGGTCGAGGCATCCAGATTCCAGAGGAGTCATTCAACAAACGCGGCCCAAGAGGTCGCCGACATTGCTTCGGACGGTTCAGCAGGTTCCCCGGACGGCCCAAGAGGGCTCCAAGAGGACCCCCAGAGGGCGCAGGAGGAGAGGCGAGGCGGCGGAGGGGGGCGGCGCGGGAGTCGCCCTTGACGCTGGCTCGCGGGCCCGGTGGGCCTGAACTGAGGCAGTGCCTGCAACAGGAGAAGGAGCGAGGAGTGGAGGGGGGTGGGGGGGAGGAGGAGGCGGAGGAGGACGAGGAGGAGGAGGAGGAGGAGGAGGAGGAGGAGGAGGAGGAGGAGGAGGGGGAGGGGGAGGGAGGAGATGGAGGAGGAGGAGGAGGAGGAGGAGGAGGAGGAGGAGGAAGAGTTGGTGGAGGAGGAGGAGGAGGTGGTGGAGGAGGACGAGGAGAAGGAGGAGGAGGAGGAGGAGGAAGAGGAGGAGGAGGAGGAGGAGGAGGAGGTGGAGTTGGAGTAGCAGCAGAAGCATTGAAGTCCTATCAACGCAAAAAAGAAGAGAAGGTGGACTTGTGAAAACCCAGGGCGCATCATCGCTGTGGCAAAGCCCCTCCATCCGAGCTTCTTCTTCATGCTCCCTACAAGAGTGTATCATTATTGCGAGATCACACCCATTGGAAGATAACCACTTCTGAGTCCTGAATCACGTCAAATCGCAATTCCTGGGACTTCACTTCCGTGAGTTAACATGACTGGCGCGCCCTGACATTCTTCTAGCGCGCCAGAACACCATTCCTGGAACTTCAACAGAGCGATCCAGCGTGACCGCTGCGCCGTGTGACAGCCCTTACTCGCGCCATAACATCATGCCAAGGACTCGAACCGTTCGGATATTCGGAACTGCTGCAAGTTTTTACAACGAAAGCGCACGGCGCCAAGGCGAAGGCCACATGCATAATCCCTGCGAGCTCCAACTGCTAAAATTGGAGGATACCTCTGGCATGTCTGGTGACTAGTGGAGTCTAGTGATCGACATACAGGCGCGGGCCCGCGGGCCGTCGGAACGATACCCAGTCTTGCCAGCGCTTGGTTGTTGCCTCATTCGCACGATGGCGAGGAGGGGATATGGCGTCAGAGGTGATGCGGGTGTCCCAGGATTGCTCATCTTCCGCTATCTCCTGCTTGTTTATTTTATCATTTGCCTTGTTCAAGTGAGTTGCCATAGCAGTTCCTTCCGTAATTAGCCATTTTGTCTCGAGCGCTCAAGTGTTCTGCTGCGTGGCGGTATTCGAACCGCTGGCACCGAATGCCTCATGAGCCCAGATCCTACGAGTTCGGCACTCGAGGCGGCTCTGCGTGTGGTGCTGTTCGCAGCCCTCGTCATCCATAGCATCCTGCACACCACAGACCCCTGCACCGGAGCCAAGAGCTACGCTCTGCGCGTTCAGGGTTCCCTGCCGCGCTGGCTGCTGCCCGCCGTTGGAGTTCTGCGGGCGGCGGCTGCCGTCATGATGTTCTCTAGCAATCCTTGCGTGGTGCTTGGAGCGCTGGCATATGTTTCGATATTGTGGAGTGGTGCGGCGTATTATCACTTTCGGCGCAAGCACCACGTTGCAGCTGTCTGTCCGGCTTGCTGTTTCGTGCTGCTCGCGGCTGCTGTCATCGCCTTGCGGGCGAGTCTCTTGTTTGCGCTGGTGGGGACGATTGCGTGTGCAGTGGTTGCAGTTGGTTTGGGGTGCATTCTCGTCACTCCTGCTCCAGAGGGGCAAGAAGTCTATTTCTTAATCTGACGCTGCGGAAGAATTGGGCGCAGTGAGAGGGACAAGTGACTAGTAAGCGTCATGTCAATTGAACGATTTTTCGTCGCTTTTGAATTGGCGCAGTTTGTAACTTGAGTAGGGCCGAGGGTCAGAAAGCGCCTTCCTCTGCAGGACCACCAGAAAAGGGACGTCAAGGTGGTCAAGCGCCTCGCCGCTTAAGCCGACGAAGATGTGTCGCTTATGTCCAAAGTTTTGGCTTGACGCTGGGTGTGGTGCATGAATTTCAGCTTGTCCGAACAGGTTGGTTGAGCCCCTTGTCCGTTTGGAGTGTTCTGCAGACCTGACCCCCCAGCCTTTTTCAATGTGTAACAGAGAAGCTTCCTCCCACAAGATACAGGTGCCTACATTCTGAAGCTGACCTCACCATTGGAAGATAATCACTTCCGAGTCCTGAATCATGTCAAACGCAATTTCTGGGGCTTCACTTCCGTGAGTTAACATGACTGGCGCGCCCTGACAGTCCTCTAGCGCGCCAGACACCATTCTTGGAACTTCAACAGAGCGATCCAGCGTGACCGCTGCGCCGTGTAACATCATGCCAAAGACTCGAACCTTGCGGATCTTTGGAACTGCTGCAAGTTTTTACAACGAAAGCGCACGGCGCCAAGGCGAAGGCCACATGCATAATCACTGCGAGCTCCAACTGCTAACATTGGAGGACACCTCTAGCATGTCTGGTGATCGACATACAGGCGCGGGCCCGCGGGCCGTCGGAACGATACCCAGTCTTGCCAGCGCTTGGTTGTTGCCTCATTCGCACGATGGCGAGGAGGGGATATGGCGTCAGAGGTGATGCGGGTGTCCCAGGATTGCTCATCTCCCGCACATCGGGCTCGATGCTGCTGTGGGCCGCTCTCTCTTGTGTCCAGGCCCGGAGGGACAGGGTTAAGGGGGGGGCACAGTCTTCCGCAACAGGGGGACTGCGGGGGTCGGAAGACCAGCCCCATTGAGACTGCCTATACGCCGATTGGGCAGGTGGGATTCGGGGTATGGTAGGAAGAAGGGGGGCAGGAGGGGACTGGGAGCAGGAGTGGGGCGGGCAGCATCGGGGGGTTCCGAGCGGGAGGGGAGGGCTCCCGCTGCGCCCTCCGCTGCCTCGGCGGCCCACCGCTGCCGAGCGAGGTCCCCCGCGGCCAGGCCCCCCGGTCCTCCCACGGCGGGGAGGCCACCCGCAGGCCCACGAGTGGGCGAGAGCGTCGAGCCCATGCTCACGCGTGCCGCCCCCCCCCCCTCTTGGCGCCCCCTCGGGGGCCCCGCCCCCGGCCGTGCTGAACCGGGCTGGGGAGGCCTGGGGGCCTCTCGCGACCCCGGCGGATCCCGGGGCTCCAGGATTGCAGCCGGGATTGCAAACGGAATTCAAGGGTGGAAAAATCACCCCGACCCCGACAATTCGCGTTTACTAAACAGCCCTGGGCGTTCACTAAACAGCCCTGCTCTGTTCGATTCCTTCATGGGTGCGTTTACTAAACGGCTTCGCTGGTCGGGGTGCTTATTCTGGGGGTGGATTTTCTGCTCTCTAGGAATGGCAACCGGAATGGCAACCGGAATTTTGTCGCCAGCGCTCGAGTTGGAGTGGGGTGTGCTTTGCCATTCCGCCGGCAACTCCGCCTGTGCTGTGCGCGAGCGCGTTCCCCCCTGGGGCAGCTCCGCACCACGGGCCCCTATCTATTGTCTCCGCGTTGCTCCCGTGGCCCCCTCAGGGCCTCCCCCCCAAGCCCCCCCCCCCCCCCCGAGATGCTTCTCCCCCCAGGGTCTCCGTGGATCGGGGGAGTGTCCGACGGGCTCTTCGAGACCATGTCCCCGGGCAGCGCGGTGACGCTTACCCGGCAGGCCTTCGGTGGCCGTCGGGGCCCCCTGGGCTCCCGCTCGAAGTCGCGGGCCAGAGATCCACACGTATTGCGCCGACGCGCAGATATCGGGGGCGGACAGAACCCCCAACAGTGACACGTCGACTAGTGAATTGTCCGTTTTCGGTTTTCGTGAGGGCGCCGTGGCTGTTATTTTCCAGGCTTGCACCCGCCAGGTTTGGGCCCGAAGTCGTTGTCACTAAACCACGTTTTACTAAAGGGAGGTCTGTCCATCCCCGAAAATAGGAGCCAGACTGGAGTCAAATCCGTGTACGCAACGTGGTCGCCCAGGGCGGAAATGTGGGCAGTCAGTTCTGTATCTGAATGCGCGTTGCATGGGCAGGGCGTTCGGCTTTGGATTGAATGTCGGGCCTCCTTGGGGGCCCCATAAGCTTTGTCTCGGCCGTCTTGTAGACGGTTTCGCCGCAGTGGAGTCCATCCTGGGCTGGCGTAGCCGACGTTGAAGGGCTACCTGGGGCCGTCTTGGGCCCGTCGTGGGACCATCCCGAGGACCTCCTGAGGACCGCCTGTCGTTGGCAAGTGCTGGCCTGATGGCACCAGGCCCGGCCCTCCCAGCCAGAGCGCGGGCAGGCGACGGCGGTGAATGGAAGAGCTGAGCCTCGGCGGGGGGGGCACTGAGGTGCAGTAGGCGGCTTCAGCATACTGTCGACCGCTTTGGGGGAGTAGCCTTAAGCCGGTCCTATCCCTCTACATGGGGAATAATCAAAATAATAGAAAAATAGTCTGGGGGGCGATGTTCAGATTCTTTGTTTGGCTTTCTGGGGCATTGTCGGTGTACAGTTGTAGTTTTTCGTTCAAAGCCCCCTTGTAGGGGGGGACATGCCCGACCTAAAAGTAGCCTGGGAAATCACCTTTTGGACCGTCTCTCGCAGGCTTAAATATTGGCACCAACACCAATATCGGCGGCGTGCATCCACCGAGGGAAGAAGATCCCGATCTCGGTGATGGTGGTAATATTCTGGCTTCCAAGGTGACCGAAATATTACCACCAACACCGAAATCTAAGATCATCATCTCCCTGTGGAGGCAAACCCATGTGCTGGTGTTGGTGCCAATTTCCAGGCCTCCAATAGGGTCGCCTGCGGAGGCGCACGAGGGCAGACCCTGCGGCTCTTTGCAGGGAGCCGTCGGCACGCCCTCCGCGCGGCAGCCGCGGCAGCCGCGCGGCGCACAGCGACCAAGCGCCGGGAGTTCCAGCATAAAAGCAGTCGGCGGCGAGCCGACTGAGGCCAAAGCGTCGTCGCGGTCCTCCTCCTCCTCCGCCTCCTCCTCCTCCTCCTCCGCCTCCTCCTCCTCCTCCTCTCTGCCCGAGGCTCCCCCCCACTCCCCGCAATTGCTCGGCAGCCGCCCTCCGGGCGTGCAGCCAAGGCAGAGACGAGCGCGCGGCGAAACCCGCCGCGCGGGCCTGAGAAGTAGAAGGAGGGAAGTGAGAAGGAGAAGGAGAAGGCCTGGCGAGCCGGGAGCGAGGGGGGGAAGTGAGAAGGAGAAGGCCTTCTCAGAAGTCTCGGGAGTCCCCCGGCCTTCTGAGAAATGCTCTGAGCCTTCCCCGGAGACACAGAAAAAGCTTCCAAGAAGGCGCGGGGGTTTCTGAGGAGTCCCGCCGCCTTCTGAGAAGGCATTCACCTTTTCATTTCCCCGCCTCGCTCGCCGCCAAAACAGGAGTCGGAATTCCGAAGTGTCCGGCTGGAATCTTCGGAGACGACACTTTGAAAGGCAGTTGCCCTCCATTCTTGGAGCGGCTACGAACTTCTGAGACGAACATGCGCGGAGTTTCGGCGAGAGCAACGCCGGCTTCCATACGTGGAACAGCTGCAAAGTTTTAAGACGAGTGCGCTCGGCCTCGAGGCTAATGCCACATGTTCAAACCGACCTTCCCTCCATCCGCGAAATTGCTTCACATATAAAGCGTCGGGACCATACATCAAGTCTCAAGCGAAACACCCTGCCCACCCTAACGACGCGTCTCTGGTCCGACAGGGAGGAGCTTAGAAGTACAACGGATGAAAGAGGAAGAGGAGAATAAGGAGGAGGAGGAGGAGGAGGAGGATAATAAGGAGGAAGAGGAGAATAAGGAGGAGGAGGAGGAGGAGGAGGAGGAGGAGGAGGGAGAAGGCGGAGGAAGGGAGGAGGACGACGAGGAGGAGGACAAGAGGGAGGAGGATCAGGAGGAGGACGAGGAGGACGAGTCGGAGGTGGGGCGGTCTTCTCGCTTATGTTTTTGCCCGCGCTCCACGGGTCTCCGATGCCGAGAGTTCCGCCCGGCGCTGCTTAGGATATTGGGATTTCTGTGGTGTGCAGCACACCTTAGGCGATGCTTAAGAAAACTTGAGTTTTCGGCCAGAGTCTCGATGATTCTTAATGCTGCAGTGCAAGTCTCAAGCTTTTGATAGAAATGTTTGGTTTTTTAATTCAAGTTCTGAGACTCTGAATTTCTTAACCCATGATTTCTTCAGCATTTCGCATGGTGTAGGCACACAAAGTATGAGACTTTCGTGCGAGCTGCTGTCCCACGACAGTATCGTACACCCTTTTGAACACGCGGATCCCTGGGGCATCCTGGGAAGCTCGGGGTCGACGAAGGATCTGTCCCCAGGTTCTTACAGCAAGACGTCTTATCCGGGGGTCGAGCTCCTGCCACCCAGGCAGGGTTGTAGGAGGCCATTATAGGGGACTTGGAGGAGAAGGAGGAGGATGAAGAAGAGGAGGAGGAGGAGGAGGAGCAGGAGGAGGAGGAGCAGGAGGAGGGCGGGGATCACGAGAAGCATCTGGAGCAGGATTGTTGAGGGCAGCAGCAGCACGAGGAGCACCTGGGAGGACGAAGGCGCCCACGAAGCCGGAAGAGGAGGAGGAAGAGGACGAGGGGGAGGAGGAGGGGGGGGGCGGGGAAGGAAGAGGGCGGGAGGGGACAGGGGCAGAGGGAGGGAGGGTCGGGCCGGACGAAAGGGGAGGGTAGGGAAAGGGGCGGTTACGATATTTGCTGCATGTAGCTGGTTTCGGCCCCACCGAGGGGCCCATTCCTCGACACATGGCCGCCTCCGGCGCCGGGAGGCGCCGGGAAAATCAGCTACGTGAGCTGATTCTCAAAGCCCCCCCGTTGCTATCCCCCCCCCTTTCGCCCCCCGAGAGGGGAGAAGGATCATCCGCAGCAGGAGCAGCAGCAGGACGAGGGGGGGAGGAGGAGGAGGAGGAGGAGGAGGAGGAGGAGGAGGAGGAGCAGGAGTCCCTCTGCAGGATCAGCAGGAGGAGCGGCGGCAGGTGGCGCAAGTGCGCGCCGGTTGAGAGCGGCGGCTGGAGGAGGAGCACGAGGAGGCAGGATGAGCAGGAGAAGGAGGTGGAGGACGAGGGACGAGGGGGATCGGGAGGGGTTGGAGGGCCCAGTCGACTTGCTTCTGGAACACCAGTGCCTCGGGGCTGAACAAAATACCGCTCGCATGTTCTGGTCACAGACGTCTACGGACACAGAGAACGTAACGTTGGGCTCCGCAAACGTTGGGGGCCCTTACGTCTATAGACGCATTCGGGGTAGATGCGTCTGTAGACAACGCGGCCGTTGCGCTCGTCGCAGTACACGGAAAAAGGGTAGATCCGTCTACGGTACGTTCTTGTTCTAGAGCACCACAGGGCACTTCAAGAGGTGAGGGGGATGGCATGGGGTGTCCCCCACCGCCTCGCGCTGCGAAACAATCAGGACGGAAGGTTGGCATGTTTTGCCTCCAGGGGCCCTTTCTGGGCCCCGCGGGGCCATCAGACATCGGCACATATGGAAAGCGGCTCTCATTGAATGGGTCCAGTCTTCTTAGGGTCCAGATTATGAAACAAATCACAGCGTCGGAAAGTCGGGGTGTTCCAGTGAGGCTTACGCCGAAAATTCGGGGCCCCCCCCTCATCGCAAAGCTCCGCTGTCAACGGCTGTGCACACAGCATTCGCCGGCACGCGGTCAGGCAGCATGGCATCTTTGGGAGCCTCCGCCGCTGCTGCCGAGACACAAGCACGCTGCAGAGAGCGCTGGGGATGGGGACAAGGAGGACCCCATAACTCCGACGTCGCGCTTTTGTTCGCAACGTGGACGCCCGAGATCGGGACCCCTCCCCTTGGGAACGTTCGTCCCGAGTCATTCCTGGACGGTCCTTGGGGCCGGCGAGGGCTCCCAGAGACAGAGCATTGCCAAAGGCTTCCGGCCGCGGTCCGGTGCACAGGGAGGGGATGTGGGGGGCTCATGGGAGCATCGGATGTCTTCGAGGCTCCTCCTCTAGAGTGCACTATAGTCGAAAGCGATGGTAAGGATGGGTACAGTCGGGGCCCTGAAGGAGGAACCCTTCTCGTTGGGGAGGGGCTCCGCGTTCCTTAAGTGCTTCGCAGCTTGCCTCAGGCTTTCCTTATGTTTTTCGACAGAAAATCGAAGATCAACTTATGGGAAAGAGGGGCCCCGTTCCTTATTTAGGGTTCCTCAGGTCAACGCCCCGACGATATGCTTCCCAAGAGTATTCTTGCATCCTTGCCTCCCCAGTCTATCCTTGGCCACTTTCGACGGCCGGCCCCGCTTGGAAAAGCTTCAACCCGCGCGTCCAAGGGGCCTCCTCCTCCTCCTCCTCCTCCTCCCTCCGTCTCCTCCTCCTCCTCCTCCTCCCCTCCTCCTCATCCTCCTCCTCCTTGCATCCTCACCGCGCATCCTTACTATCTATCAGTTTAGCCTGCAGCGTGTGCTAGTGTCTGGTAGTCGATGAGGGAGCGTCGATTCGGCGTTCGGTTAGCTCCGACTCGCAAGAGCCAACAAGATGACACTGTATGCAATACTGTTGGCCCTTCGTGGGCTGCGGGCTATATTTGCATGCGGCACGTTCGCTTCTTCTTTCAGGCCAACGTTCACTGCAAGAGTTTGCCGCAGGTCGGTTCGTGTGGGGGTCCTGGTGTGCCCAGCGACGTGTCGATTCGCACAATGAGGAGCGGAGCTAACCCATTTATCTCGCTGAACAGAGAGCCAGCAAGATGACATGGGAGGCCCCCATTAGTTGCCACGGCGAGGGGGCGGGAGGGGGCGGAGCGGCCCCCAGAAGAGCATCGTGAAGCAGCTGAACGAGCTCGACGCGAAGCTGCCTGCCGGCGGGATCAAGGGGTGCCTCCCGGCCGCACGGGCAGTCTTCAGAGGGCCGCACGGGCAGTCTTCAGAGAGGCCAGAGGTCAGATAGAGAGTGTCTATTTCCCTCTGGGTCACAACGCGAGTTAGTTATGCCCCCCACCCTTTCCCATGATGCACATAATAGCGTAACAATCCCCCCCAATTCGGCCCCCCCAGCATTGGCGCAGTGCGTCCGGCACCAGTCTGTCAAGGCGGGGGGCGGGGGGCGTTACGTTATGCCCCCCCCGGTTGCTGTCGCCTCGAGTGAGAGCATGTTTTCGCGGTGATGTGATGCGTTGCAGGATTTCCTGGATGTCCCAGATGCCCCAATCCTCCACACGGGCTGCAGCGCCGATGGCCGCTAGGCTTTCCACCACTCTCGGGTATAGCCAGGACCCCGGTTAAGAGGAGCCGGTTAGTGATTCCACAATATGGACTGGAATCGCTAAACCAGGCCTGCCGCAGTTGGTGCTTTTCGGGTGACGGCAATCCCGGTGAGTGGAATGGGACGGGGGGGCGTCCCCGGTACAGATCACCAAGAACGGTTTTTGACGGGGGTCGTTCCCCGGTTTAGTAAATCGCCCCTGAGGAGGAGGAGGAGGAGGAGGAGGAGGAGGAGGAGGAGGAGGAGGAGGAGGAGGAGGAGGAGGAGGAGGAGGAGGAGGAGGAGGAGGAGGACTCAGGGCGTTCCCGGTCACTAAACCCAGTCCTGCCATCGCCCGACACTCCCGGGACGCACCCTGAGCCAATCGCACCACGACGCCATCCTCGTCACCACTGCGCCGCCTGCCGGCCCAGGCGGCCGAGAAGCCCACGCGCGTCGGCGCGGGGGGGGGAGGTAATCGGCACGAGCGAAATGGGTACGGAAAGACTGGGTACAATTCGGGGGCGGAAAAGAGGGGGGTGATGACTAGGGGGGGTGGATATCATGGCGTGGGCCATGAGATCTCCCCAGATTTCATGGCGCCTCTTTTCATTTCATTACGTCCCTGGCCCCCCCGCTGGGCCGCGCACATGCCGCCGGTCATGATTTGCACCCCCCCCTCTTGGACACCCCCCTCTTGGCCGCTCCCGAACAATGTCCAACAGTAGTTCCTGTTCATTTCGAACAGGACTCGCTGTCCGCGCCGCCGCGGAAGTTGTCCATTTAAGACAAGAAGCCGCCTGCCCAACAGCGGCCGCTGCCGCTTTTGAACAACATTTGTCGTTGAGCATTGTACCCATGTTCTCCGTACCCACTTCGGGCGTCCAAAGGTAAGGTTGCAGGAGGGGTATCGGTGGCTAGGGGAGGAAAGGGGTACTGTTGTGGAGGACGATCCATGGAGAGGAAGCATGTTGCCAAATAATTTCCAGGTGTCTCAAACATGTGGTAAACATGTCTTAGACATGTAGAAAACATGTTCAAAACATGTTTAGAACATTTTCCGACATTTCAGGCACTTTGAATTCAATGATGGGACTGTTAGGGTGTCCATTGTCGTGGCATCCGCAAGCGGCTAAGGGTGCAACAGGGGTATCGGTGGCCGGGGGAGGAAAGGGATGCCGATGCTGCTACCCTTCCTGCGTCTTGCTGTCGTGAGCCTCCTGGGAGGCCCTCGTCGCCACGGCCGGAGGTGCCTCGAGATTCTGGCCAGAGCGAGCCTCAGGAGACCAGGCCGGGGAGTAGCGGTATCGGTACCCTCTGGTTTGCCCGAGTGGGTGTTCAGGTCGATTGTTTCTGGCCGAACCTTATGTTCTTCATATCGTACTCGAGGACCACATCCCTGAGATAATCGAGCGCCAAGAGAAGTAGCAAAACAGGGTCTGCCCGACACGCTAGCGAGGTGTCGAGCGACTATCGCCTCCCAGGGCCCGACACCTGAAGCCCCTCCAGTTTCGGTACGATCTGGGTGCTCGAAGTTGGTTCCGGTGGTCAAGGCTGAAGGTTGGAACATCATAGGCCGAACCTCGCTTCTAAGTGGGTTGCAGGCGCCCTGGGGCTCTGAGCGGCTAGTTTCAGGGTGGTTGGCGATGCGGGCTAAGTGGGTTCCGCCCACCTAGGGGAGTGATCACCCCCTTCTGAGCAGTATGTCAGAGCGTGAATTACCTACCCCGCTTTCGCTTCCAGGCAAAACCAAGTCATACCACGCATAGTATGGGCAGTTGTAGCCCACTTATAAGCTGGAGTAGGCCTGATGTACGGTGGGGGGCTATTCGTTGAGGGAGGCGCCCGGGAGGCCTCGGACCCTGGAGGATTCCTCCTCCGATGAGGGCTTCGGTGGCATCCCTAAATCTCTAATCCTTATAATTAATTTCTAATCCTTATAATTATTAAACCCTAAAGATTTCCTCCCCACGCGTCCCTATGGCATCCGAACTCCCTGAATCGAGCCTCATATGGGGATCTTTACGGCCCGCTATGTAAACCACCCACAATCCGATGCAAAAGACAATATAAACTGATCATGCGTGCTCCCAGGCGCACCCCTGGATCGAGCCTGGGGATCTTTACGACCCGCGATGTAAACCACCCACAATCCTATGCAACAAATATTATTTCCTGATCATGCGTGCTCCCAGGCGCACCCCTGGATCGAGCCTGCTATGGGGATCTTTACGACCCGCTGTGTAAACCACCCACAATCCTACGCAACAAATATTATTTCCTGATCATGCGTCCTCCCAGGCGCACTCCTGCATCGAGCCTGATATGGGGATCTCTATGACCCGCTATGTACACCAGCCATATTTCTATGTAAAACAAATTATTTCCTGATCATGCGTGCTCCCAGGCGCACTCCTGGATCGATGCTGATATGGGGATCTCTATGACCCGCTATGTAAACCTGCCATAATCCTACGCAAACAAAATTAGTTCCTGATCATGCGTGATCCCAGGCTCCCAGGCGCACTCCTGGATCGAGCCACGCTTGCTATGCTATGCTATGCTATGCTACAGCCACGGTATAACATGCGAGGAGAGATGATCTTTCTGTGGGGGTGGAGATGCGGGGGGGATTGATAGCCACCGCAGGTGAGTGCCTATGCAGGTAGGTATTCCTGGCCTTGCCCTGTTAGACCCTAAACCCAAAACCCTAAACGGTTTAGGGTTTAGTGCTTAGGGTTTAGGGTTTAGGGTTTAGGGTCGAACAGGGCAAGGCCAAGAATACCTACCCGCATAGGCACCCACCTGCGGCGGCTATCAATCCCCCCCCCGCATCTCCACCCCCACATAAAGATCATCCCTCCATTCAAGTCGTACAGGGGGAGGGTCGATTGCATATAGTCGTACAGCCCGAGAGGGGTTCCGTGCGTGCCCGCTCGCAGATGGTGAGGATATGATCGATTGCATATAGTCGTACAGCCCGAGAGGGGTTCCGCGCGTGCCCGCTAGCAGATGGTGAGGGTATGCATGGGCCGATTGTATGTAGTCGTAAAGCCCGAGAGGGGTTCCACGCGTGCCCGCTCGCAGATGGTGAGGGTATGCATGGGTCGATTGCATATAGTCGTACAGCCCGAGAGGGGTTCCGTGCGTGCCCGCTCGCAGATGGTGGGGGTATGCATGGGCCGATTGCATGTAGTCGTACAGCCCGAGAGGGGTTCCGCGCGTGCCCGCTCGCAGATGGTGAGGGTATGCATGGGGAAAGTGCACGTCGGAGACGATGGATGATCAGGATGTAGTGTTTTTTGGAATAGATCGTGAGGGTTTGCATGGCGGGTCGGGCAGGATATAGTGATTTTTCATAGGGAAAGTGCACATCGGAGACGATGGATGATCAGGATATAGTGTTTTGTGCAGTAGATCGTGGGGGGTTTACATGGCGAAGCGCAGGGCGAGCCGCAGGGCGAGCCGCGAAAAGTCCGGAAATTAGGCTTTAGGGTTTAATAATAATAAGATTAGAGATTTAGTGTTTAACAGGGCAAGGCCAAGAATACTTACCCGCATAGGCACCCACCTGCGGCGGCTATCAATCCCCCCCGCATCTCCACCCCCACATAAAGATCATCTCTCCTCTCATGTTATACCGTGGTTATAGCATAGCATAACGTACCATAGCAAGCCTGGGAGATGCACTTGACACGCGTGAACCCTAACAAGGGGGTCGGTTCGGGTCGGGCGGAGTCTAGGGTTCGCCCGACCTCAACGTGCTTTGCTATGCCACGCCTCTCGTATGCTATGACAGCATAACATAGATTAGCACAAAGGCGAGTTCCACAACATCTGGATAACCGCAGCCTCTAGCGCGGCTGTCGCAGAACACCAGTGCTGAAAAAACATTTGAATTTCCTAAGGAGTTGGCCATGATCGCGCGGCCGCCACGCGCTTTTACATTTTGTCATATTTTGTGCAATGGAATAGTACCATGCACACATCTTGCAAGAGCAGCATCTTCATATTATATGGTTTTTTTTACAATACATAACTCCGGTACGCTTACGGGGCGGCCGCGCGCGCGTGCCCTTTGTCGTATTTTTTGTATTGGAATATGAGCATGGACACATCTTGCAAGAGCAGGATGTTAAGATTATAGTATTTTTTACAACACAGAACTCCGGTACACTTCCCGGTTCGCGACCACGGTTGGGCAGAATGTATTGTTAAAAATGCGGTTTTCTGATAAACGCGATGCGCATGATCAGGATATAGTGTTTTTTTTTGACAGGGATCAGCCCGGCCCGCGGATAGAGCCGGTCACGATCCATTGTAAAAAACATCGTTTTCAGAGCGCATGATCAGCGCATGTGCAGGACATCGTATTTTTTGCAAGGGATGGAGGCCGGGTTGCATAGCGGCCGGTTTTGAAGGATTTAGGGCTTAATAATTATAAAGATTAGAGATTTAGGGTTTAGGGTTTAACAAGGCAAGGCCAAGAATACCTACCTGCATTGGCACCCACCTGCGGTGGCTATCAATCCCCCCCGCATCTCCACCCCCACATAAAGATCACCTCTCCTCTCATGTTATACCCTAACGGGCGGGTCGGGCGGGCGGGGCCCTAACGGGCGGGTCGGGCGGGCGGGGCCCTAACGGGCGGGTCGGGCGGGCGGGGCCCTAACGGGCGGGTCGGGTCGGGCGGGCGGGCCCTAAGACCCTAACGGGCGGGTCGGGTCGGGTCGGGCGGGCCCTAGCGGGCGGGTCGGGTCGGGCGGGCGGGACATTAAAGTATGGTGCGTGTGCACTTGACACGCGTGAACCCTGACGGGCGGGTCGGGTCGGGTCGGGTGGGCGGGCCCTGACGGGCGGGTCGGGTCGGGTCGGGCGGGCCCTAACGGGCGGGTCGGGTCGGGCGGGCGGGGCATTAAAGTATGGTGCATGTACACTTGACACGCGTGAACCCTAATGAGCGGGTCGGTTCGGGTCGGGCGGACTCTAGGGTTCGCCCGACCTCAACGTGCTTTGCTATGCAGCGCCTCTCGTATGTTATGCCAGCATAACATAGATTAGCACAAAGGCGAGTTCCACAACATCTGGATAACCGCAGCCTCTAGCGTGGCTGTCGCATAGCACCAGTGCTGAAAAACATTTGAATTTCCAAAGGAGTTGGCCATGATCGCGCGGCCGCCGCGCGCTTGTGCACTTTGTCGTATTTTTTGCAATGGAATATTACCATGCGCACATCTTGCAAGAGCAGAATCTTCAGTTTATTTTTTTTACAATCTAAAACTCCGGTACGCATGCGGGGCCGCCGCGCGCGAGTGCACTTTGTCGTACTTTTTTGCAATGGAATATGACCATGGACACATCTTGCAAGAGCAGGTTGTTAAGGTTATGATATGTTTTACAATTTAAAATCCCGGGTTACATGCGGGGTCGCGAACCGGGGCCGGGCACTTAGTATTGTAAAAAAAATATGGTTTTCTGATCGCAGGATCAGGATATCATTTTTTTGCAAGGGATGAGCCGGGGTCGCGGCTGGGGCCGGGCAGAATGTACTGTAAAAGATAAGGTTTTCTGATCGCATGATCAGGAAATTGTATTTGTTGCAAGGGATGGAGGGCGGCTTGCATAGCGGCCGGTTTGGAAGGGATTAGGGTTTAATAATTATAAGGATTAAAGATTTAGGGTTTAGGGTTTAGGGTTTAGGGTCCACTAGCCCAAACTTGCAGCCCACTTGACCGTGTCCCACCCACCCATGACCCAAGACATATTTTTCTCGATGCGGCATCAACACGCGACTCGCAAAATGACGACGAGGACGACACCGATGACGACGACGTTGATATTGTTTTCAAAACGACGACGACGCGGCCGCGCAAAGACACCTGGGACGCGGCTGCAACGGCGACGCGGCCCGCGCGCGTGACGACGCGATTTGAAGAACCACGTTTTTTGACGCGAGTCCCTGTGCGATGCAGGGGCGCCGCCCAGCGGCGGAGAGGTTGCGCGCAAGATCCACGTTTATTGACGCGAGTCCCTGTGCGACGCAGGGCCCCCCGCGGTCGCCGTGGGCGCACCGCCCAGCTGGCCCGCGGCCGCCTGCGCCGCCGAAGGGTCGGCGCGCCACCCCGCGTCCGCCGGGCCGCCCTCCCGCGAGCTCGCAGAGGGGGGGCCGCAGCGCCCGCGGCCGCCTCGCCCGCCGCGGGGGCGCCCGGCGCCATTCCTGGCGCTCCGAGGCCGAGGATCTGCGTGAGGGGCGCGCCCTGGGATTTGCAGATCCCCCCAGAACGCCACTCCTGGCGCTCCGAGGGCAAGGATCTGCGCGAGAGGTGCGCCAAAATGGGGGGGGCGGCCGAAGTGGGGACTTTAGGGCGGCGGAAGGGCTTTTAGGATTTAAATCTTTATAGGCTCTTAGTTTTTAGGAATGGGTGTTCCACCGACTTCCAGACCCTGAAGTCCTTTTCCAAGGACTCCGTATTCAATGCCCTCACCCTGTCCTGAGCATCCATCTCGGATCCCCCGTCCCCTGGGCAAAACCCCGCGCCGCCCCGAGCGCTCGTGCGACGCCCCCTGCCCCCCCCCTCTCAAGAGGAGGGCAAGTCGAGACAGCGGTGGTTGGTGTTCGCAGGGGGGAGGGGGGGGGCGCCTCAGCGCCACGCCGGGGCGAAACTCGGCGCACTGATGCTTTCGGGCCCCCTGCGGGGGTCTGGGAAGCGATTTTTCGATTTGCCGTTTTCTCAAGTCGCCCTCCTCCGATCCTTGCCTCCCGATCCTCGCCTCCTCCTCCGATGAGCTGGTTTCCTCACTTGTTCTTCCGTCCCCCCCTCTGCCCGCGCCCATCCCCGTTCCGTCTCGCTCCGCTTCCGTTTCGCCCCCTCGCACGTCGGCATCTTTAGGTATTCGTCAGTCTTGGCCGCCGCGCTCAAGGCGCGCATTCTTGCGCGCGCGTGGGTCTTCTGAACAGCCTCGCCCCCCGTCCCCCCCGGCATCCCCTGTCCCATTTTTGGTTGTTTTTTGCCGAGCGCGTTGCGCTACTCGCAAAGTGACTACTCGCAAACGCCAGAAAAACATAGGCTTGCTTCAAGGAGATTTATCGTAGATGTCCCGCGGCGGATCCAGGCCATTTGCGAGTAGTTATTTTGCGAGTAGTGGAACGCGCTCGTCTATGCACCTCCAACCCTCGCCCCCTTTCATCCGCCGAGCGCGCCCCACCTACTCGCAGAGTACCGAGTCGCAAATGTGAAAACATGTTGGCCCAGACGTGTTGGGTCATACACCTCGCGCGCCCCCTCCGTGAAGCAAGATCAGGCGCCCGCATTGGGGGCGCTGGAATCGCCATGTCGTTGCGAGTCTATTCGCCTTGCGCGCGGGCGTCTTGCCAGTCGCGGCGCGCGGACGGTGGTCACGGGCGCGCGGGAATTCGCAGCGCACAGGCGCGCAGAGAACAGCAAACGCTGAACGGCGTCATGATCGTTGCCAGGGCACGCGGGCAGAACGCGATCTGTGGGATGTGGGTGGCCTGAACAAAAGAGCCAACCATGCGTACATGTACGCAGGCACATGGTTGGAACATAATCGACGGCCAGGCCCAGGTGCGTCGACGATTGCGGGCTTCCGCTTTGATGTTTCACGCGGCGGAGCAACGCGTGCAAAAGGGCAGTGCGACATTCATGCGCCTCCAGCCCCTCCTCTGTCTTTTTGGTGGCTCCGCTCGCACCCCCCCCCCCCCCCCCCCCAGCGGGCGCAGCCCGCGCGGGGCTACATCGGCAGCGCAGGTTCGCACGAGCGCGTTCAGACCTGTCTGATGTTATGGCCCACGGGGGGGCGCTGCATAGCCGCGCCGACATAGATGTGCTCGTTCTTTTGCGTCAGCTCTGTTGTTTCATGTTGCGCGCTGCTTCGGGCGTCCAAGGCCGCGCTGGAGCGTGTGCTTCACTTCCACAAGGCCACGTTTGGCACCCTCGCACTTGGCATCTCCGGCTGCCCTGGTGGACTATTCATGATTGTTCGTTGTCTCGTTCGGATAGCCCACGTTGGGACCGACCTTGAGCTGCTCAGGTCCAGGATGAGCGTGGCAACGTTCCACTTCATGTTGAGGCCTGGAGAGCGAGTGACATAGTGGTTTCTTCCCACGCAGTTTCCGAGGGACCCGCCCGTGGGCGGTTCACTTGTGAGATCGAGCGATGTCAGCGCAAGACGCGGTAATCGAACTGCGCGGCAACGTGTTACCTCATGTCGAGGCCCAGTTGGCGAGTGATACATATTGTTCTCCCAACTTAGTTTTCGGTTGACACACGCGTGGGCGGGTCGCCCGTGGGTTCGGGCGATGTGAATGCGCGATGCGGGAAACGTGCTGCGCGGCAATGAACTACCGCACGTTGTGGTCCAGGGCGCGAGCAACACGAATTGCTTGCCTCATGAAGTTTTCGACTGACCCAGTCGCGGGTCGCCCGTGTGATCGCGTGGGGTGAGCGCGCGTTGCGGGAAACGCGTTGCGCGGCAATGTTTCAGTTTGCGCCGAGGTCCAGATCGCAAGCCGTGCAATCAATGCGTTGTTCCCCTCCCAGTTTTAAGATGGCCCGCCAGCGGGTGGGCCACGAGCGCGCGAAACGGGGAACGCGTTGTGCAGCAACGCGTTAATTCGTGCTGGGGCCCAGAATTCGAATTCAAACGTCGCGCTCCTCGATTGACCCGTCCGTGGGTTGGTGGCCCGTCAGATCAGGCGGCGCGGACGCGCGGCGCGGGGAATGCTCTGCGCGGCCATCTGCCGTTGCATGTTGAGCCCCCGAACGCAGCGCAAAGATTGGATGCCCCCCCCATGCTGCTCTCGGGCGCCCCACCCGCGGGCAAACAGAGCGCGCGATACGGGGCGCACGCTGCGCGGAGGTCGTTCGCCGCATGTCGATGTCCAGTACGCGAGTGAAGGGCGTTTCCCCCCGCTCAGCCTCGGGTTGATCCGCCCGCGGGTCGCCTGCGATAGAGCTCGCGAGACGAGCTGGCGAAGGGGGGGCGCGCTGCGCGGCAAAACATCGCCTCGTTCCCTGGCCCGGCGAACCGCCCGCGGGTGGGCCGCGGGCAAGGTCGCGCGACGCGAACCCGCGATGCGGGGAACGCGTTGCGCGACGATTTTCTCATCGTGTCAAAAGCCCACATTGCGCGTGCAGCAGCGTGCAATCCACACCCAGTTACCAGGTCACCCACCCGCATGCGTGTCACCAATGAAATCGGTCGGCTTGCGCGCGCGATACGGGAAACGCATTGCGTGGCAGTGTCTGGCCTCATGCGGCGGCCAAGACTGCCAGTGAAACAGGTAGCAGGCCCCTCCCAGCGTTCGAGCGACCCGCCCGCGGGCGGGTTGCTTGCGAGGTCGCGCGAGATGGGCGCGCGAGGGGGGGCGCCTTGCTTTGCAATTTACTGCGTCACGTTGAGGCCACGACGCGAGTGAACCAATGGCTTGCCTTCCCCGCCAAGTTTCTGGGCGACCCGCCAGCGGGCCGATTGCCCGCGGCGCCCCGCGGGGTGGGCGCGCGCGACGCGGGAAACGCACTGCGCGGCAAGAAATCACCTCGTGGCGAGGCTGGGAGCGCAAGTCAAAACAACGCGTGAGGGCGGGCCGCCTATATCTGGCGACGCGAGCGCCCGATGCGGAAAACGCCTCGCGCAGCAATGGAACGCATCGTGTTGAGGCCCACCGCGAGTCATGCGCATGGTCTGCCCCGCCAGTTCCCCGGGCGACCTGCCAGCGGGTGGGTCGCGCGTGAGATCGGCGAGGCGGGCGCGCGATGCAGGCGAGCCTGGCGCTGCAATAGTTCCCTGCGGGTGGGAGCTCAGACTGCGAGATTGAAACAGACCCCCCCGCCTAGCCGAGTTTCGGGGCGCCCGCCCGGGGCCAGGCCGCTTGTGGGATCGCGCGGGGTGGGCGCGCAGCGCAGCTGGAGCGGCGACGGCGGCAACACAACCGCCAGACCGAAGACGCGGCCCAGCCGACGGGCGGCGACGAGGCGGTGACGGGGCGGCGACGGCAACATACGTAGCCGCCAGGCCAGAGACATGGCCCAGTTCCTCCGAGGGGGCGCAGAACCGGTAAGTGCAAGCATTGCCTGGGGAATGAATCGTAGTGATCGTGGGCCCCAAACGCTGGTGTTTGATAAGAATCTAGGCGGCGAAACCTAGGTGGTGCAACCAACCAGCGTGGTGCAATCTAGGTGGTGCAACCCACGTAGTCCAATTTATGTGGCGCGATGAAATGCAATGCCAAGCAATGCCGAAAAATTGCAGGCCATGCCAAGCATTGCACAGCAATGCACAGCAACACAAAGCAATGTCAAGCAATGCAAATCAATGCCAACCAATGCCAAGGAAAACCAAGCATGGCCAAGCAAGACGAAGGGAGGCAGAGCACTGCAAAGCATTGCAAGGCAATGCCAAGGCAACGCCAATCAATGCCGATCAATGCACAGCAATGCACAGCCATGGACAATACAAACCAATGCGCGGCAATACGGAGCAGTTCAAAGCAATACAAATCAACGCGAAGCAATGCAACACATTGCGAAGCACTGCGAAGTGGGAGGCGACGAGGCGACGGGCGACGACGAGGCGGCGACGGCGGCGACATGGCGGCCAGAGTCTCGCAGGCACGAGGCGGCGACTGCGGCCAAATGGCGGTCAGAGCGGCCCGCAGCCTCAATTCCTTAGAAGAGAGGTAAGTACTCCGAAGTGCATGCCCTGTTTGGGGAATTCGTCTGTGTGCGTGCATGTCTCGATCGGCGTCTGATATGATATAAGCCTCCGATACTTATACGACCACTCTTCGGGTGATAAGGAGGTTGTGTGGGGGGGAGAGCGGGGTCAACCAACGTCTGACTCGATCGATCTCACTATCGATCTCACTCAACAAGACACCACTGGACACCTCGGGACACCACATCGATCTCGCTATCGATCTCACGATCGATCTCACTCAACGGGACACCGCGGGACACCACGGGCCATCACGGGATACCACAGGACACCGCGGGACACCGCTCGATCTCACTATCGGTCTCACTATCGGTCTCACTATCGATCTCACTCAACGGGACACCATGGGACACCACGGCCCACCAGGGGACACCTCGGGACACCACATCGATCTCACTTTCGAACTCACTATCGATTTCACTTATTGGGACACCACGGGACACCTGTCGATCTCACGATCGACCTCACTATCGATCTCACTTTTTGGGACAACACGGGACACCTCGGGCACCACATCGATCTCACTACCGGTCTCTCTCAACGGGACACCACGGGACACCACGGGACACCTGTCGATCTTTTTTTCGATGCCACTATCGATCTTATTTATAGGGACACCACGGGACACCTCGGGGCACCACATCGATCTCACTCTCGATCTCACTACTCACTTTCGATCTCACACCACGGGACACCACGGGACAACGCGGGACACCGCGAGCCACCGCCGGACGGACGGGCGGGCGGGGGAGAATCACTTTTCCCTAGCAACGGCGGACACCACAGGACACCACGGGACACCGCAGGACACCGCGAGCCACCGCCAGACGGACGGACGGGTTGGCGGGGGAGAATCATTTGTCTTGACTTCGCCCCAGCAACGGCGGGTTTATTCCTCTCGCGCGGCCACGCAGCTTCGCCTCGCCCGCACGCACTACACGAGCGAAACGAAACGATTTCCCGGTTGGGGGTCTCCGTTGCATTGCGTTCTCACCCCCCAACCTCCGACGTCTATAAGTACAAGCATATGCATTCATGCATATATGCACACATGTATGTGCGCGTGTGTGTGCGTGCATTCCTTGGTCGGCGTCTGATATGATACGATCCTCCCCCTTCTCGGTCTGCAGCCTTTTTGGCCCAGAGTTTCACCTTTACTTTTTTGCCATCCGTCCCCCTCCACAGTGCGCCAGTTCGGCGCCCCCTGCAGGTCAGCATCGTTAAGATCCCCATCCCAACCAGGCCTGGGGTTCTAAGCCCCACCATTCCCACCAGGCCTGGTGTTCTAACCGACGGCGGTAAACTAGCCAGTGGAGCCAAGGCCATGCCAATGGGGATGGGCCCAGACATGCGATGTCTTGTTTTTTTCAATACGGGGTCCCTAGAAGTCCCGACCCTGTTCCCTCGGACACGTTTGTAATCTTGAGTTGTTTTTCCACGTTCCCAGGGCCCAGTCAGGGCCTCGAGGGGCCGAAAACGTAGAAACCGTCCGTCCTCAGACGGGGCTAGGACGAGGATCAATCCAGGGCGTTTCGGAACGCTCAAAGAGCGTTCCGAAACGCTCTGAGAAGGCCGCGGCGCCCGATACATCCTCTAGAGCCGCCGGATCTCAGAGATTCTCGACTTACTGTGAAGTTATACATTGCCGCAAACTGATATTTGAGGAAGGTGCCGCGCCAACACATGTTCTGCAAACGAACGTTTCATTGTGACATCTTTTCATTTGGCGGAGGCGCTGAGCGTATGACTCCCGAGAGCAAAATCAAACCATTGGCCTATGTTATGTTGGCATTGGCGTGGCAATGGCCTGGGGCACTACTCCCCAGGCCCAGAGAAAACCCAAGAAAAGCTGAGCAATTGCCAATCACACACAGGAGAGATCGAACAGACCCGAACAGCCTCCCAAGGGAAGCTCTTAGTGTAGTCAAGTTGCGTGGCATTTTACGCAGCCGTCGAAGTTCTTCCTTTGGATAAAACTGGGCGAAACGAATAATCTTGGCAGGTTAAAAATTGGCGGGGGGCAGTCCCATAATTTCCTGCAAATGAAGCTTTGAAGGCCGCGCTTCTTAATTCGGCGGGGGGCTTGACCAAAAGTGCCGCACGAAAAAAAGCGAACCGAACCTAAACACTTGGGTGTGTCACCACCCGATGTCGTCCTCGTCCTGGCTTCGTCTTACCGTCGGACCGAGGCATGAGATCGAGGTCGGTTCGGGGAGGCTGCTCTACTGCTCTTCGTGTCTGCTGGATGTCTTGCGCACCCAGGGGGAAGGCACCCACGTTCTTGCAGGATGCACTTTGCTGTCCTGGGTCTGGCTCTACGCTTAATTCATGCCTGTTCCTCTACAGGAGGAATATTCAAAAATAGTCAAACGATAG